AGAATATGACTATTGTTACACAAAAAACGCAGCAAAAGACATTTACAGTAAATGAAAGTTTCACATGAAACATGGTGCTCCTGAAGCCTTAATGTGTCCCTTCACCACAGCCAGGAGCCAGTGCCTGCAAAGAACACAGAAGTTTCTTTTCTATCTCGTACCAACTTGTATTAGTGTATAAAACTCCTGGAATGGCTCAAAAGTGGAAGTTTATGCTCCAGAATTTTAATATGTGCCGGATGACAACCTGCAGACTGTAACCTGAGTGCCTTTAAAAGCCCTGAGGCAGGGTTCTCGAACTCCGGTCCTCGAGGGCCGCAATCCTGCATGTTTTAGATGTTTCCTCCTTCCAACACACCTGATTCAAATGATCAGCTCATCATCAAGCTCTGCAGAAGCCTGATAACGATCCTGATCATTTGAATCAGGTGTGTTGGAAGAGGGAAACATCTAAAACTTGCAGGATTGCGGCCCTCGAGGACCGGAGTTCGAGACCCCTGCCCTGAGGAATGAAATAAGTGTTAATTTGGCTTGAAATCATTTTTTTGACCTGAAGAGGGCAGACATGAGCCATTTAGCGATTTCTCTGATGTGAACAGCAGGTAATGTACCAGAGAATTAATTAACCAGGCCATTGGTGAGAATTACAAGCTGCATGTAACAGTCATGTGTACCAAACAAAAATATACAAAACATTGTGGGTCATAAATCATCAGGGACCTTCTGCTCGACCATCTCGGATATTTAACATGGTGATATAGCTCAATCTGTCAAATACTTTGAGATTATTGAAAAAAAAACAGGCTTTTATCTTTAATAGCTCCTGAGATATTGTGGTTCAAACAGCCTCAACAGCATAAAAAGAGAATTTGATATATCAAGCTAAAACTTTGGAAAGAACTTTAGAGATATTCATAAATTTTGGGAAAATCAGAGCTGGTCGAGCAGAAATTGTTCTAAAAACGTGCTGATTTCTAATAGAACGACTCTTGTGCAGAAACTTGAGAGAATACATCTGTAAGACTTTCTGAATTGTTCAAAAGAAAATAATACAAACCGACACAGCTGTTAAATTTTGTCTTTTTTTTAATTAAAACCATAGTGGGTTCGTTCAAGAAATGTACAGCATGAAAATATACATTTAATGTCTTCATACAAATATTGTGGATTATAAAATTATACTGAGGAACCAGAACAAACATCCACACAAACGTTAATATACAGGCGTCGTATCTGTAGGAGCAAAATATAATGTGCGCGACATTGCTTTGGTCTATTCACAGTGGCTATGTTTGTATTTTTTTTTTGAGATGGACAGACATCTCCGGAAGAAAACCTTTATCGCGTGTGTTGGATGAGGCTTATTTACAGATGACAGTGAGTCAATCAGCAGTAATATAGGAACAAAAAGTGTCGTGTTCTGTCGTACAGGGAAGCAAATATACACGAAACAGGTTCTGTACGTTAAAGGTCAGTGGAGTAGTTTTACACCAAAACATCATTCAGTGCACGAGCTCCCCGTTTCTCAGTGATGTAATGCACAAACCTTAATAAAGCGTTGCCCACACACAGCAATCAACCGGCTACCAGCTCTTGGAGAGAGAAGTAGGAAAGTGTTTTGTCTGATTAGCAGATAAAAAAAAAAGCAATCGTGGGTGTGCTTTAGTGCTGTGACACACTCTTAACTGTATTTGTTTTGCGTGGAAAAAAAAAATCCATGACTTAAAACCCATTCGGTGCAGGTGATATGAGGACATACGATGTACTGCGAGACAATACGCATCTGTCAGCCTTTAGATTAGGTCAAACTGTGACTGCTGTACCTTTAAACCTGCAGTACGGAACTTTTGTCTCCCCCTTCTGGTAATAACGGTACATGAACACGCCGTCGATCACTTTCTGATTTAGACAGTTTTGTTTTAAATCAGGGACATCAGAAACTTTTCTATGACTCTAGGTAGTTTTTTTTGTCATAATTCTAGTTGCTGTGGCTGATTCTGTCTCTGCAGTTTAGTAAAATGCATCGCTAATGATGCACAAACATGTCGCCGGATTTAAAACTCCATTATACTGCGAAATACCGAGAGATTTACCTGGCGCTGATTGGCTCAATCAGAATTGTGTGAATGTAACGGATATTCATTTATATGTAAAAGTCCTGCAGTCTTACTTTGGGTTTGTGAGGCCAGAAAGAACTCTGCTGTAAATTGGTCCAAAAACTGCACTGTTATTCCAGGAGGAAACATTTTTGCTCTTTCTTTTGCACCGCTGCATGTTCAGACGACTCAGAAAGCCAAATGAGCCTCAAACTGTCGTGTAATGTTAAGGAAAGACAGTGCTGCACATCTATGGAAGGTCAACATGATAAAGTAGCTTCATTTTTTTTTTAGGTATTATATTTGCTGGAGTAGCCAAAAACTTCTCAAAAGGTCACAATTTTTTGAAGGCTGCATTCCCTCACCATATACTTACCTTCTGATCCATGTAAACAGGTCATGTGTTGGTCCAGTCCTGTTTAAGGAAACACTGATGTGACATTTTACATGATGCATTTCTTGCTCGTTGCTCATTTTGAAGAGCCGAACTCAAACAGCATCCAGCTGCAGCTGGTTATATGGTTACTGTTCAGACTGGGGCTGCTGCAGTTCAGTCTGTGGTGCTGTGGATGAGTCCAGCTGTTACTGCTTGAACCTGTGGTGCTTCTGTGACAGATGTGTTTATTTGGGAGTTCAGCAGCTCTCAGCCAGGACACTGCCGCTGCATGTAGTCAGTGTTACTGCCATTTAAAATGAATAGCACAATGACATCTGTGTCATTCCAAGGCTGCTGTCAAGACAGCTGCTGAACCAGTTCCTCTAGTTTTGTCTTTATGCAACAGGCTTGTGCCTGACAGACACAGCTGAGGGTGAACTGACTCTCTCTATAGACTGCATGGTTCTGTATCATAGTGCAGCTCACACAGTTATGACTTTGTATGACATTGCCACTGTATGAGCTGCATTATCATACAGCATCATGCAGCCTGTAGACTCTATAGCGTGTTAGTTCACCCTCAGCTGTGTCTGCTAGGCACAAATCTGCACCATTGCATAATGACAAAACTACAGGAGCTGGTTCAGCAGCTTTCACTGACTAGACAAACTTGGGATGACACAGCTGTTCCCACAGTTATGACTGCAACATACTTGTTTTTAATAGCTTTAACACTGACTACATGCAGCAGCAGCAGTAGTGTGTGTGTGTGTGCAGCGATAGTTTCACTGGCTGAGCGCTGTAGTGAAGCTGCTGAACTCCTAAATAAACAAACAAGCACATCTGTCAGAGAAGGACAGCAGGTTCAGATAGTAACAGCTGGACTCATCCGCAGATTGAACCGCAGCAGCAGCCAAACATACATCCAGGCAGAGCAGCTGCAGCTGTGCTCGCGACCAGCAGCTGGAAACCATAAAATGAATAACGAGCGATAAATGCATCCAGTCTCACATCATCTCTCACTTCGTTTCAATAAACTGGCAGCATGTTATAACTGGTCCAACATACCAATATTCACATTGATCAGAAGGAATGTAAAGTATACTGCAAGGTCACACACACAAAAAAACACATTAACTCATCTTTATAGAAGAATAAACACCTCTCATTTTCCCAGTTGGCCTTTTTTCACACAAGACATTAAAAGAAGGAAAAGCACAGTTGTGAATAATTCAGGTAATGATGGCTAATTTCCTTTTGAGCTGATTTGCTTCCCCGCTTAACTAGCTCTAATATAACAGCCGCTCAGCAGTTTCCACACAACACTGACGGGTGTAGTGCAGAAAAATGTGTGACACTTTGTACTGCAGCATTCTTAGCTGAACGTATGAACCCTGTTTTCCTTCCACCACTATACGGTGCGTAAAAACACATTTAACAATGTTAAACAACAATATATGCAGCAATTTAGCCAAAATGACTGTTATTATTTGCACCTGTGCTTTTCAAAGTCAAATGTCTCATGTGAAAAAGGCCTGCAGATTATTTACTCTCCTAATAGCCAGGAAATTGAAATTAAACTGCTCCTACTTTGCAGGAGAATTGATTTAATCTGGCCTTGACACATTTGTTTTAAAAGTGGTGCAGAAACTTGTGAGAGTCAAAAGCTGATGTGTGCGCTGGATATAAGAGGTTTAATTACTGTGCATTAAACAGCACAGATATTATTTCTACCCTTGTCTTCATTGAGAGATCTGGAAAATGACAATTTAAAGGTGTAGAACGGTTGTTGATTGAGCATATTTAGATCATGAACACCAGGCTTTTCGTCAGCGCACACAATATAAACAGCTAGTGGACCACAAGAAGATATTTGTTGAATTTCACAAAAATCTGATTAGATTAGAATCGCATACTTCCCCTTTAAGGAGGTTTAAAGTTTGTGGAATTGGACCTGAGTTAGAGTCCTGAAACATCTCATTTGTTCCATGATAAGGTTGAAAAATTCATCTTTTAGGAAGATGTCCCAACTTACAAATGTATCTTGTTACTCCTGTTAAGTAAGAAGGAGAAACATTTACAGTTTACTTGTTGGTCATGATGCGATTTACACAAAGGCTCAAGTACGTAGCCGCTGCCATCAGCACTTCACTCTGATTCACTCACTCTGATCGTGACATGCTGAATGTGTTGTATCCCACATTTGCTGTCGATCGACAACAGCGTGGGCTCCGTCCAGATTACCAGGACTAATGAGACCTGACTGCTAACAGAGTGGGAGTGCAGCGCCAAAGCCAGCAGGGACGGTCGAGTCATAACAGAGGATAGCAAAAGGTTGGGAGAAATTACTCACACACAGCAAATCTCCTACGAACTTCTAAAACTGTGAAAGAGGAGCAGGACTCTGACGTGTAGTCGGTGCCAACACTAATGGAGACATTAGCAGAGGACTGAGGCGACCTGCTGACAGCTAACAGAGGTCAACAGCTTTCAAATGAGACTCTTGGACCAGACCGATGAGGCAGAACTAATGTGGCTGCACGTTTTGATATTTTGAGACTTCAACAAACAGACCATTTCCGTCGGGACAACACGAGATCACATCTGTGACGCGTAGGAGAAACATTGAGCTGACAGTAGTGCAAATTAAAAATAAAAAAAAATGGACAGAAGAGGATCAGATTTCTGTCGCCGCGATCTCATCAAAGTTGATCTCGTTACCGCTGCCCTCGTCGTCCTCTCTGCTCTCCAGTTCCAGACTGAGCTCCTGCAGAAGCTGCTCCAGCTCTCGGTTTCTGCGATACATCTGCACATAGTTCTGCTGCAGCTGCTTCTGGTAGCGGATCACTTTGTCCTTCTCCTCCTGCCAAATCTTTCGCTCCTCCTCGAAGCTTCCCGTTTGCTGCTCGGCCCTCTGACGCTCGAAGGCCAACTCGGACCTCATCCTGTCCATCTGCACCTTCATGTTCTGCAGGGCTTCAGAGCTGCTCTGCCGCTGGGCCTTGGCCTCATCGCTCTCGTAGGCCAGCAGGTGTTCCTCGGCTTCCTGGAACACCTGACACTGTCTGTTTCCTGGCCCCTGATTGGCCAGAGCCTCTCTGAGATGAGCCAGCTCTCCCTCCAGACGCGCCACCTTTTCTCTGAGCAGCTCCGCCTCACTCTTGCGACGCTGGAGCTCGTTTTCGCACACCTCCAGCTCCAGGGTCCGTGTTCGGGTTGTGCCATGGGCCTCCTGGAGCTGCACCTGGGTGTTGGTCAGCTCGCCGCGAGTCTCTCTGAGTTGACCTCGCAGCGACACGATCTCCCCAACACGCTGAGCCAACTCACCCTGCACCTCCTTCAGCTGCTGTTTCAGCAACGAGATCTCCCCCGACTTCTGACACACCTGAGGGGAGAGAATCATTCAGGATGGATGTTCAGTTTGAGGGAGCAAAGATATGAATAACACAGCGTAAGCACAGCACAAGAATAGCTGTAAGTCCACATTTCATACCTTTCTTCCTGTATCTTGTTTAGTATGTGAAGAAGGAATTACTTTATCTTTGAGAACGGTGCATGTAAGCTTCTTCAACACAAAAGTGAGGGATTCATGATCATGGTATACTAACACTAGGACACGTGCCACCACAATGTCCAATTATTTTCCATCTTTGTCAGCAACAACTCAGAAACTTGTCCAAATTCCAGACAGGCTTTGTATTGTGAAAACTTGTTTTTTCTTTTTTTTTTTTACTTCATTTGTTGACTCTTTCTGGTTGTGGTAAAGCTCAACCTGTGTGTCTAGCTGTGGAGACTGTTTCAGATCCAAAGATAAGCATAAAAATCAAATACAACTCTTGTTCAAAGAGGCTGAAGTACACGATGCGATCAAAAACTTGGTGGTGGTCATGATCACGCACATGCAACCTTTGCAGCAACAAACAAACGTCACTGGTGATAATAATTCGGTCTGCAGCTACAAACCAGGAGACCAAACAACAGCTTTCATAATGGAAGTGTCTCCAACACCGCAGAAGGCACATCAGGTCAGGAGCACCAGGAGCATGTTCACGAGGTTGTGCACTAAGAATTCGTCCCCCAGGGTTGGACTATAATTGGAGAACCTTTTTAGCCACATGAACCCAACCGTCATACTCCACCTGTACTACTCGCCACATTTGAATCCCTGCGACATCTTTTTCTTCCCCAAAACGAAATCTAAGCAGATGTTTACACAACAGGAGCGTTACAAGTATGGCATTAGCTCTGCATCAATCCACAGATAGAACGCATTGACAAAGTTGGAATCCAAATTTAAATCAGGTGCTGATTTTGCTTTTTGTAAACACAGTCACATAACAGTCACACCTCGTAGAAATGCTTCACGGCTTAATTATCTAAAAATAGCAGAGACAGAGTCAATTTTACAAAGTGCCTCGAAAGACTGTGTCTCCTGCAACACTCACAACACTCCCTGGAAGTCCCATTATGTAAAGCATGTCAAGCACCATCTGCGACTCACACTGAATTTCTTAAACTTTGTCAGAACGGTGACCCTTTAGCTTGACATTAATTTTGGGGAAGAGGAAGCAGTGCAGGTTGGGAGTGATGATGGTGTTTTTGTAACCAAAAAAACAAAACTGTGCATATTCACTGCACTGAGACACATTGCACTGGAACATCCACATACCATGACATCACGGTTCACGTTGTTTGCACCAAATGTTTTTCTGCAAACACCTCAGGACTTTACAGTCAAACTCTGCCTTGACTGTCCAACCCTGGGGGACAAATTCCCAGTGCACAAACATGTGAATGTTGAAGAAAACAGCTCCTGGAAGACCCACTTCAAGTTATTGGTGACGTTCCTCCACATGACAGTCGGATCATCCCATCTATCCATTATCTATACACTGCTTAATCCTCACTAGGGTCGCTGACTTAGGACGAAGGCAGGGGACACCCTGGACAGGTCACCAGTCTATCACAGGGCTACACTTAGAGACAAGCACACTCACATTCACACCTATGGACTTATTTAGAATCACCAATTAACCTCAACATGTTTTTGGACTGTGGGAGGAAGCCGGAGAGAACCCACGCTGCACGGGGAGAACATGCAAACTCCACACAGAAAGATCCCAGGTGTCCTCACCGGGACATGAACCGGCGACCTTCTGGCTGTGAGGCAACGGTTCTAACCACTGAGACACCTTGCAGCCCACAGTCAGATCATCAAACAGCTTATTGATCTGTGTCTTGTGCTGGTGAAGACACAGAGGCATCCTGTCGTGTTGGTCTGCATGACTATCTGATTTTACCAGCTGCAACAATGTGACGAAGGCCCCAAAATCTTCATCTACACTTGAACGTTTCTACATTCTGTATCAAAAGACAAAGTAGGAATTGAACTGCACTAAACTTAAAATCCCTTTTCAATACTGATTGTTTACACTAAGTAATTAAGCGCATCCATTAACACATAATAGACAAGTTGCCACGGTCGGCTTGATTCTCTAAAATAAAAGTTATGCTGTAATTTGCACAGTCTGAACAATACTGACTTTAGTGGAGGATAAGAAACTGTAAAATCAATGCAGATAGCACAGCGATAAACTTAACAGCCCAAACCTTTTCCCTTTATTGTGCTCATTACTCGCTGAATAAAATTTCAGTGTCCCTGAGCTGAACACAGCAGTCGGTTGAAGAAAACGCCCGCTCACCTCCCACTTGGTCTCCTCCAGTCGAGGCCCCAGCTGGATCTTCTCATGCTCGTAGGAGGTGCAGCGCTCCTCCAGCTGCTCCCTCTCCTTCAGAAGCTGAGCAAAGTCCTCCTGCAGCTTCTTCTTCTCCTGCTGGAGCTGGTAAACCTGCAGCCACGGCACCAGAAATAGCGTTTTAAAAAAAGGAACGCACATGCAGATTCACTCACGATGGAGCTTATGTGACTCATGTACCCTTCGGAAAAATGATGGCAATGACAGCTGTGGAGTGGAGTCAACAAAGACTAGTTTAGCTGCACAGCGGAATGCGCAGCTGATGATTGTATCGTAAAGGTTGGGTACAAACTGAACAGATAACAAAGAGGCATCAAAATGTGCATAAGTCTTAGCTTAAATTGCTTTTAAATCTTACAAGAGAAAAAAAAAACACATCTATTTCTTGTTGCTAAAAGTTGCAGATTTTGCCACTACAAGCCTGAAATACAGTCAAGTGTATTGAATTAAAATACCCGGTTTTCACAAGGAGTTTGTCCTTAAACACTCAATTTGGAAAAGAATAAATTCCCTCCCCAAGCTGCACTGAGGATCAGGTCCGTCTTCCAGGACGGGATGCAGAGACGTGACAGATTTATAAGATTAACAACTGACATGAAATTATAAAATGTAAACATTTCAACAATATAGGAGGACGTCAACCAACCTCTACACGTCGGTGAATATAACTTCTTATCTGTTGTATTTTGTATTTTACGATTCTGCTTCTTTGAGGACCAGGTGGTTAAAGTTGCTACATCAATCCTGCTTAATCAATGCATGAATCAGTCAATAAACTGTATTATAGTGTGACAGACACAGGACACATATTCACTTTAAATTAAAAGATTTTTCTGGTTATACTGACTTACTTTATGGACTTTTACAGTGTGGTATTAGTACTTTAAGTAAAAGATAGAGTACTTCCGCCACTACTGACCATCTGTCAATTAAGGTAAGCAAACATTTAAGGTCACGAGACAATCACCTGCTAATCGAGCAGCTCCGAGTACGTTGACTGATAATGATGCTAGACTCACTATTTATTAAGACCAATGCAGCTGTCATGGTCGTGTAGATGAATAGTGACAGATATACACTGTTTATTTGAAGGTAGCCCGATTAAGGAACCGATAAGCAGAATCATGGAACTCATTCTCTTTGCCTGACCCAATTTATTTTCCACCAAAAAGTGACTTTAATGGTTTGATGCTTCCAAAAGTGAATTTTTGATCCTGGAAGCAACAGGTGACAAAACAGTCCCACCACTGAGTTCTTTAATTGTTATTGTGGAGCTTTTAGTCACATCATATGATCTTTCTCATGAGGGGAAGTGTGTCCAGTTGTTGTAGAATCCTAGATGTCCAAATTTCCATTTTTTTGATGACATAAACAACTTCTGGTCGGCTGCTAACTGACCTTGTGTTGAGACGGTTTAGCCAATAACTTACACTTCATTTGCAGAGCTGATTTTCTAACCAGCAGCTGCTGAAATGTAGAAAAATGAAGCTTTTTGTCAGAGTTTCTGACCTGCAGCTGAAGCACCTGCTGAGCGCGCTGGGCCTTCTGGGAGGCGACCTGCATCCTGGTGGCACAGCCCTGCCTCAGCTCCTCCAGCTCCAGCTCGAAGCGCTTCTGCTTCTCCTCATAAACCTGCAGGACAAGACGGACCAGCGGGAGGCAAAGAGGTCAGAGTGCAAATCTGATTTGATTATTAAAAGATCAGTCTTTCACCCACCTGACAAATCGCAGCTTCGTTCTCGTCCAGGTTGTCTCTGAGCTGCTGCAGCTCCAGATCTCTCTCTCTCAGTTTGTCCTCCAGGTCCCTCACCACACCTTCATAACCCTCCACTGGTCCAGGAGAGCGACCGCTGGAGCCGCTGTCCGACAGAGGCTGCCCCCGGCCGCTTAGCGACCCGGAGCCAGTGCTCTTACTGGAGGATGATCGGCCACTGTCAGAGTTGGAGTGTCCATGCGCGCTGACCGGCGGAGCGCTCTTCATGGGCTCCAGGTGGCCGGCCGAGGCCTCACCGGACGCCAGGCCGTAGCCGGCGTTGTTGTAAGGCGGCAGGCTTGACAGCGAGTTGCGGCCCGAGTCGGACAGTGAGCAGGACTGACTGCTGCCGCCGACGTTCCGGCCGCCACTGTAGGAGCTGCGCTTCTCAGAGCAGGAGGGCGACACCTCTCTGTGGGTGGGGCTCAGCAGGTTCAGGTTGTTTTGGCTTTCTGGTGCGTTGGCACAATGGCGAGGAGACAGATATTGCATCGAGGTGCGGCTCTTGGGAATGACGGGTTTGAAGGCAGTGGGCCGCAGCACTGTTTTCTCCATGTTCTAGTGGAGGAAGAAACATGGGATGAATGTAGAAAGGCAAGCAAGAATCAACAACACGTACATCTAAACACTAGAGTTACAACAATCAGAACAGTTCATGGTGATGATGTAAACTTTATGTCGAGCATCAGAGATTTTAACAAACCAAACTCCAACTTTAAAGATGATAAGTCGCTTAGACGCTGAGAAATACAAAGGTGGTCTTTCATCGACAGCTGAGCAGATCTTCTGTGGATGAAGATGATGTGATATATGACTGAAAGTAAGGATCAACTGATGACTAGTCTGGCCTGTTTTTTTTCTCTTCAAATTATTAGCAGGTTCTCTGTGTTTTTTGATCTTGTCTCATTTTTACTCACTGTGTTCTTACTGCTATATAAAATCCTGAACCTCTATGCAAACAGGACAACCACTACTGTAAGTAGAGAAAACTCAGAAATGTCTTCTGTGTAAAATAACAAAGTTATAATGCCATTGATCATACAAAAAGACAACACAAAGACTAAAGTTGAATTTCTGTCTTATTCTTCTTTCTTTCTTCTTTTATTGTTCTTTTTTTTCATTCTTACTAAACTGAAAAAAAAATGGAATAAACAAGTGCAACATTTTTCTAAGTGTTATCAGGTGTCTACAAGCTGTAGATAATTTGCTTTTTACATTTTAATTTGTTTCCACACTTGTCTCCTATCTGCTTTGTGTAAACACATCCTGCAGTTCAACCACAAAGTCTTGTCATGTGACTTTTGGTTGTAGCCAAGTCACTAACAGTTTGACAGTTTCTACAGAGTCTGGTTTTAGCAAATGTTGTATTATGGAACTATTTTTAAACGAGACATGTGGAATGAAGAGATTTCAATGAAGTATAGGCTTAGATTTACTCACTCACTAGATGAGTTGTTCAAGGACCATTGGCAAGTTCAAAATTTGAGGAATATCTTTGTTTTTACAGTTTCTGGCTCTGTGAAATAATGTTATTTTGTTGACCATTCTCTTGACAACATGCCTTTCAAATACACCGATGCCCTAAGGTTCAGAGATTTAAAAGTAATTATTTTTTAAATGTGTTATTTTGGCTCTATACATGTTGAAAAGCTCGCTTTTAAATAACATAAATAAACAAAGACATTTCCATTAAGTTTCATGCTTGAACTTGTGTTATTTGACATTTTTCCACTTAGATTTTTACTGCAAATGTATGTTTGTTTACTCGATTACAGTCATTGGTGTCGGCTCTAAAAGAAAACCACATTCATTCATCCATCCCTAATCGAAAATTCAACGGCAACTAAATGGACCTTGAAGAGTGTTGACTAAAATGAGAACATCTCTGGTTAAATAAACACTGAACACTGGGATTCCTTGATGGCATCATCTGATATCTGCACCCTTATCTGATTGTTTTATACTCTGGATGTGAACTGATGCTCCAATGGAAAATCACCGTGACCGTGTTAATACACTCAAAGACTCACCTTCTCCAGTTTTCCTGACACTGGGATCAGTTTTGGAGGAGGCCCCCCCAGGTTTCCATTCAACCCTGATCCGTCTTTGACCTCATCTGCGTCACTTCCTGGACTGCCCGGTGTCACGTGGTTATCGTTCCAGTCGCCTACGTAGTCCTCGTTCACGTACGTGTAGTTCCCGTTGCCGCCCTCCTTCTCCAGCCCTCTGCTGGTTGTGGAGCTCTGCTTCTTCAGCGGAGGGACGCTCTGCAGCAGCGGGTCCTGGGGCGACTCGGGGCCCAGGCAGGAAGCTCCCGGCGTGGGCCGTCGGCCTCTGGCTCCCAGCTCCACGCCGGAGCGGTGGTCCTGGTAGGGGCCGGGCCGGGCGCTGATGAGGCTGCTGACAGAGCCCATCGGATCCAGGGTGGAGGGCGGCGGGTTGATGGGGGGCGACGGGCCGGAGGGGTGACGTCTGCGAGCTCCTCCGCTCAGGCCGGAGCTGTGGGGCTCAGCAGATATGGGCAGAGCCTGAACCAGGGCCATGGTGGCGGCTCAGAGGGGTCACTCGCTCTGAGAGACACAAACAGGGTTTAACAGTTATTCTCTGTGTTTATCAGCGGTGTTTACACGTCATTTGAGATAAATCCACATCTTGTCTTTGGTCTTCCAAGACAAGAACACTGATTGCACACCATATTTATTAAGATGCTCTTGGACACTGTGGACCCTCCTGAACTGGACTTATTAACTTATTAAATACACCCAAACTGTCTACAGCCAATAGTAGGAATTCAAATGTAATGTCATGGCAGCCTGGTGGTGTGTGGGGAGTTTTAGTTTTTTTGTCTTCTTGTTATTCTTGCTGTCGTTTTTGTTTTATGTGAAAAGCTGTATGTTTAAATTAGAATTATTTGTAATTGCTTTCAGAACCTCAATTTAAAAAGACAATAAATGAAGATGTTCATGTCAAATCTTTAGTCTCGCTGTCTTAAGTATCTGTAAAAGCAAGTTTCAAGTGAGGTTTTGTCGTTGAAGTTCACTCAAAGTCTACTTAAAGTGAGACCTGCACCAATTAATTTTACCTAATTGACTCCCCGCCAACTATAAAATTAATTGCCAACTATTTTGATATGTTACTTGCGTAATTAAAAAAAAAAAATACAGGCAACATTTTCTGATTCTAGCTTGACAAACACAAGTATGTTTCTTGAATTCAGGATGTTTTATTTCAATATTTTGTGGACCCGAATAAAAGATTAATCAAGAATTATTTTTATAAATTGTTTGCGAAAAAGAGGTTGAAATTGTTTGATTACAGCTTCTTAAATGTGAATACTTTCTGATTTCTTTCCCACTTTATGACAGTAAACTGAATATAATCAGGTTGAGAACAAAACAAGACATTTGAGGACGACATCTTGGATTTTGGGAAACACTGATTGAATTTTTTTTTTTTTTTAGCATTTTCTTACATTTTGTAGCGCAAAAAATGTGATTAATTTCAAATAATTAAAATAATTGTTAGCTGCAGTTTCAAGTTTCCGGTCAGTTAGAGACAAATCCAGACTGGGGCTAAACAATTCATTGAACTCAATTTAAAATTTGAAACAAAGCAATTAGCAAATTGTAAAAACTGCAGCCAATGATTTTACAAATTCATTCCATCATCCTCGTGACAATCACTAATTGTGGTGTCATCTGGTAAATCTCCATCATAACTTTTAAATCCACTAAACAGAGAATATTGAAATAAAGCTCGACTCTAAAAAAAAATAAATAAAAATAAAAATAAAAAAAGCATCGGTCACAAAAAAAAAAATCCCGTATCGTTCAGCCTTAATGTCAAGTCCTGAATCTCACAGTCATTAGCAGCTGTGATAAAAAGTCTCTCATTTTGTAAAGCAAGTGATGTTTTAAGTCAAGTTTAAAGTCTTGTTTAAGTAAATCTCCAGTCAAGTCTCACAACAGCCCTTTAAGTGTGAAGTCCTTTACGATGAGCCCATACACTCTCAGCTCTCTCCAAGTAAACTCATAAAACGACACAAGATCTATGTTTCCTGTCACAGCCATGTTCGTCGTGTTTTAGGTATCTGTTACCGTCATGTTTACTGATCTTATCTATGAAACTCAACACTGGCCTAAACTACATACTTTCCACTAATAAGTTGACATTCAAACTTTATAATCTCTCAACAGGGATGCTTTGGGGAATCTGTCACAAAAACACAGCGACTGTCAGAGCCGAAACAGAGATGATATACAGTAGACGGAAGCATACAAATATCCCACAAGACCAGGGTGGCCCACACACAGAGAAGCAGGACAGGCCATTCATTAAACCCATTCAAGCAGCACAAACAGGGCTGCAGGCAGGAGGCTCGGGAGGCATGAGGCAGCACAAGAAAGGGGTCTCTTTTCATTTGAGACGTAACACTGCTTGTAACATTCTGGCATTTTCCCTGACAGCAACAAAGGCTACTGTCTGCACACATCTTATCAGCCCCCAAGTCCAGAACTGTGGATAATAACCTCAAAGTCGAAGCACAAGAAGACAGAAGACGGCTTGAGCTTCTGTCACAACTTTTGAAGCCTCAAAGTTGCCGAGGAAATTTAACGGCAGGCCAAAATATAGAAAATGTAAGAGAAGCGACAGACTTACTTTTTATTTTTAATCCCTCACTCTCACAGGACTGCCGGTAAATGTTGACATCATGACAGACGCTCAGACTGTGATATCAACAGTTGGTTAAGTTCAGAGAACAATAGCCAGCAGGACGCACGGTGATGAGGTCATGGTGCAGCAACGACAGAACCAAACAGCCTGTTGTGCTCTAAAAACACCGTCACGGTGACTCACAAAATATGAGGATGTCCGAATGGTGGTGGGTGTGTCTCGTTCCGGAGTTTCAGGCTCGAGTTTGGTGAGACTGCAGCTCTCACCGTGTCACTCACAGATCTGCATATTGTTGGTGAATCCCTGCTGTGCCGAGAGGTTCGGGTCTTAAGTCTTGAAGTAATTAGTACTGGTAAAAGAAAGATTCAGCTTGTGTGTAGCGATTGACTGATACAAGTTTTGATATGAGATTTTTGGCCCTCAAGGGAGGCCAGAAGACAATATTGGGAGCCAAAATACATTAAATGTAATGATTTAACAGCATGTGATAACAGAGAAACTGTCATTCACAACTTCTTCACTTCATAACTTCTTCATTAATAAGTGTGACTGTATCTGAATGTGTAAAAAGGAAACAGGAGTGATACAATTAGGACGCTCTGCTCTGTTTATGTGGGTTTGAATGAGATTGATCAGTTACGTCTGCTGCTATTTTCTTAATCTTTCACTGTTTTAGCACTTTTATTGCCCACTAAAATCCATATCTTAAAGCCTTAATCAATATCGTTTTCCAGATTGTGTTTCAAGGTAATCTGTGGCTGCCTTCTACCTTAGCCGTTAGCGTAGCCTTAGCCACTGTGAAAGCAGCGAACTTCCTGGTTTGTTGCTTGTGTTTCTTCTTTGTATATTTTTTAATTACTAGCAGTATTCCCGCAAGTATATTCTTTTAACTAGCGGTGCTTTAGTGCATTAATTGCTAGTTATGTTGGGCCTAACATTTATCCAACTCAGTCCAGTGTGTTGGTTTTTTGTATTTGTTTTGTAATATTTTTGATCATCTAAAGCAGTTTTATCTGATTTGAAATGTAAGAATGTGTATTTGTATACGTGTATTTATACTTTTCCTTTATAAATTTAGGAATTTAACAGTTATTTTATTTGAGCAGATTTATTCAAGGCTCTTGTCGGGGGGATTTTATGGCTTGTGCAGGTATAGACGCAACCTCGGACAGGTTTTGGTTACTGACTGAAAAGCTCGTCACTGAGTTTTTAATAATATTTTCTGTTGTTTGAGCTTTTTTGAAAACCAGCCGGAGCTGAAGTTCCCTTATTGTGAAAGGCCAACTGCAGTAGAAAAACATGGACGTGCATTCTGTCATGCCATCCGCCGATTTCTGACATTTTATTGAACTCTGGATTTTTAGTTTTCTGCTCACTGCCATCGCTTTCTGTGCAAAGAGTCAGAAAAATCTACATTTAATCAAGAGGAGACGAAGCCTGGGTGGAGCTGAGGTGGAACAAGACACAATGAACGACTGATCTGATTGGTCCAAACATGTCAACCAATCAGTTAATCATTTAAAACCTACTTTTTTTTTTCCTTCAGTTTTTGCAGTCTGTGCTTAAGAGACATTTCTGAGACCACAATGTCCTACTACTTGAAGCGGAGCATTTAGTTTATTAAAAAATTAAAAAATCAGTCAATAAAAACACAGTTAATTGCAAAAATGCCAAATATTGGCCACAATAATCGGCCAGACCAACAATCGGTCTATCCCCAGTAGCGAGTGATGTTTTGCCATTAAAGTCGCCTCAAAGTCTTCTTCCAAGTCAAGTCTCAAGTTTTGTTTGAGCAGATTTTCATGCAGGTTCAGCCCAACTCATATCTCTAGATGTAAACTCATAAAAAGATATTATCTCAACATGTAAGTAGTATTTTTTTATGTCGAACCTGTAACTCACAGATTAGCATTTTGTTGGTGGGTCCCTGCTGTGCTGAGAGAGTCCCGGTCGTTTCACCTTGGCTGTAACCCTTTAAACCAAACCGTTGACACCAAAACACCTGAGGAATCGGAGCACGCATGCTGGCTAATAAGGCGACAGAAGACCTGCTGGGTTTGTGCACAGCGGCAGTCAGGACCGGGCCAAGTCATTCTCCAACCTGCCAAGTTTGCCTACGAGGCTACTACAGCGACGTGACTGTGATTACCACGCGTTAATTAGCACCCTGGAAACCTGGCTGATCCCTGCTTAGACTCATTATAAGTGACTAAGACAAATCTGGTGTCGCAGTATGTTGTTATGAGACGTAAGAACTGAAACAAATCGACGAGCGTTCAGCTGTAATTTCCAGTTTAGTTCCATTCCTGAGCATGACTTCTGTCAAAGACGAGCTGCCTCTTGAAGAAAAGTGGCTCCAATATTCGACTGTGTTTCTACTGAAAAGCCAACAATGAATTGGTTTGTTGCTGCTGGATTTTCTCTGGTTGTTTAGTTACTGCAGTTTAAAATGACCTATAAAAATTCCCACTAAATACTTGAGTCATTGCATCAGTGTGAAACTTGGTTAATGGCAGCAGGAGCAACATGTGCTACTGGGAGCAGAGCCAGCGAGTTAATCTGAGTGATCTTACTCTTTAATTAGTCCATGACGATATTTGTTACACACAGTCCTGTCTGAATGGCAGCGAAAGAGGCTGACTAACAATCATCAGAAAAGAAAAACTTACATTGTAATCTATATTTGTCTACACTGAGGGGAAAGAAACCGTAGTAGATGAGCTACAAACCAACTTTGCTGCTGATTTCAGTGATAAAAGTCGTTTAACGGGGAAGAAAACAGTGAGCTCAGATGGTTATGACTTTAAAAATAATGTAGAGAGGATGTTAAAATTAGTTTTGTTGTCAAATGATGGCTGACTGCAGAGATACAAGTCACAGACTCGAGTTCAGC